AATAAAGTCTAATGTTACAACTAATGGGGAATCCCTTTAAAATGGGTTGAATGGATAAAGATTTCATCAAAATTTGTCCAGTGTTTCATAAAATACTTAAACAATGACAGAGTTAATATTTACATTTAATACCAATGTTTAGGCTAACATTGATTAGCTGTGATGAACATTTTGCCTTGAGTTGACTCTAAAAGGTAATGAGTTGTAGATATGCAGTATCCTGAAGGTTGTGGGTTTGATCCCCGGGGTCTTTCTGTGTGGAGTTTGCATRTTRGTGTGTTTTATTGACTGTGACTGTACAGCACTTTGGTTGTTTAAGTGCTTTATAAAYAAAGTCCTTGTGCTTGACTGGGTTTTCTTCAGATACTCTGATTTGCTTTCGGCCCAGGCCTCCTGTGCAAAGAAGGTGTGTGATTTCAGTGTSATAATCCTGGTCAAATAAAGGTTAATAACAGTAAAAAAAATAATATCTGTTGCTTACTTTTTGTTAGTTTCATTGAAATCCATCCTGTGACTGGTGAGTTATTTGCAGTATCGTAGTAAAGTGATGACRCAGCATTAGCTGTTTTGACAGAACRGCAGTTTCTGAAGCGGAGAACAAAAAAAAATGGAGTGTTTTAAATCCTGCATATCTGATCCATGACTGCAAGCTCACAGTCATCACCACTGGCTTTGTTGCTTATTTCCTGGCACATCGCYAGCATTTGTAGATCAGTGGAACAGCGTGAAACTATTGGCTCCGGTGTGCACTTGTGCCTCGACTCGACAAAGAGGATAACCTAGTCTGTAAAAAAACAAATSAACACGCCGAGTGCAAAGCTCCACAGGGTGCCTTTGAGAGAGGAAGAAATGAAGATGGAGGCTGGGGGGAGGGTTGGGGGGTGCTGTGTCATAAGAGGAGGGCACAAAGCTTTAAAAACGTCATAAAAATGTCAAAAAATTTTTTGAATTTTACTCAAACATCTGAACACCATGATTCATTTTAAATAATGAAAAAAAAACCTTTCCAAAATAAATTTAAAAAATAGGTGACGACATCAATAAAGTGACAAAACCATTATCTGCAACATAATACCTATAAAATGCACTCTGCTGTTGCTCTGTTAAACGGTTCATTTCGAATCCGATGTCATAAATTAGAAGAACTCTTAAAATTGACAGATGTTCGGCTGTGAAAATGTTAACCTGAATCTATTCCCAGAGGTCCAACGTCTCCACAAATTAAAACCACTTTGTCTCGAAAACCTTTTTTTTTTCCATTAGAAAAGATTCTTTAATCGATCTCTCACACGTTTGCCAACCTGTCGATACACTGGCCTGTGAAAGCTTTTGCTCATTTTTGTTGGAACACTTCTTCTTTTCAAGCATCTCATTTTATCCACACTGCGWATGTGTCATCACTCTTAAATTGTTTCAGAAGCCTCTTTTACTCCTATAAGTAGTTRTTGTCCGATAAAATGAGCTCTGTTCAAAGCACATATAGGTTAGCAGTTACCACTTCCAACTGAGACTGCTATTTGTGTGGTTACACAGCGGATGAGTCATAAAAACTGGACCTATGTGTCAATGTGTGTGTCTGTGTGTGTGCATTCAWAGGGGAAGAGTCCTTAATGATCTTTGTGGACAAGCGGAAGCTGAGTCGGACATCTGAAGTAAGTGAATCCAATGGCACAGCTGTGACGCTGGAAGCTCTGCACCAGCTGGCWGCCTCCTACTTCATCGACAGGGAGAGCACCTTGCACAAGCTGCACCACATCCAGATTGCATCTACTGCCATTAAGGTAAAACGCCTGCTTATTACYGGGATTGAAATAACTCMAATATGTTGTTGTTGTTGTTGTTGTTGCTTTATTTGCAGCCATTGTTTGGTTCTCAATTACTGTGTGATGACATTCTTTTCAAAAGTAGTTCTTTATACTTGATGTTGTTGTTGGATAAATTTAATAGCTGTAATTTCCCTCACACTACAAGTGGTCTGATGTGGCTCCCTGACTGTAAGGCGATTTTAAAAGCTATGGTTAATCAGAGTGCGTGCATGGGGCTTTTCAACAACAACTCTTCAAAAAAGATTTGCCTTTTTTTTTCTTTTTTTTTTTTCAAATTTTCCAAGCAGGGGTATCTAACTTGAGGAGGGGGTCCCTGCGATCACTAAATGGGCATTTCTTCAGTGTGGGTGTAATTTGTGTAAGCCATGATTGGTCAGATGGACTTGTGTTGGCGTGGTTTGGGTAAGCCACAATTATTTGAATGGACTTGTGTGGGCATGGTTTAAGTTAGCCACATTTAGTAGGATGGATTTGTAAGGGTGTGGTTTGGGTAAGCCACAATTGGTCGGATGGACTTGTGTTGGCTTGGTTTGGGTAAGCCATGATTGGCCGGATGTATTCGTGTGGGGGTGGTTTGAGTAAGCCACGATAAGTTGAATGGACTTGTGTGGGCATGGTTTAAGTTAGCCACGATTAATAGGATGGATTTGTAAGGGTGTGTTTTGGGTAAGCCATAATTGGTCAGATGAACTACTGTGGGTGTGTTTTGGGTAAATCATGATTGGTCAAATGGACTTGTGTGGGCGTGGTTTGGGTAAGCCACGATTGGTCAGGTGGACTTGTGTGGGCGTAGTTTGGGTAAGCCATGGTTGGTCAAATGGACTTGTGTGGGCGTGGTTTGGGTAAGTCATGATTGGTCAGATGGACTTGTGTGGGCGTGGTTTGGGTAAGCCACGACTGGTCAGATGGACTTGTGTGGGCCTGGTTTGGGTAAGCTACAATTGGTCAGATGGACTTGTGTGGGTGTAGTTTGGGTAAGCCACGATTGGTTGGATGGACTTGTGTGGGCGTGGTTTGGGTTAGCCATGATTGGTCAGATGGACTTGTGTGGGTGTAGTTTAGGTAAGCCATGATTGGCTGGATGGACTTGTGTGGGCGTGGTTTGAGTAAGCCACGATTGGTCAAATGGACTTGTGTAGGCATAGTTTGGGTAAGCCACGATTGGTCAGATGGACCTGTGTGGGCATAGTTCAGGTAAGCCACGACTGGTTGGATGGACTTGTGTGAGCGTGGTTTGGGTAAGCCACAATTGGTCAGATGGTCTTGTGTGGGCGTGGTTTGGGTAAGCCACGGTTGGCCGGATGGACTTGTGTGGGCGTGGTTTGGTTAAAGGCAGCTGAGGTGAAGTTTAACAATTCAGATGCTAGATTTATGGATATTAAATTTAGTCATGACTCGAGATGCTAGCTACACTAATTTGAATGTTGTACTGTACATGTGGAGGGATGTGTAACAATTCGGTTTGGTCAAAACATCACTGACCTGCCTGGAAAAATATTTTTAGTTTTAATGTGAATATTAATAATAGTCATAAATTTAGACAGGAAGGTATACCAAATTTGAAGTCAATAAATAATATTTAAATGTTCAAAATTGTTTTACTTTGACTTGACCGTTACTTCATCTTTTAACTTCTCCCATAAGTCCATCCGACCAATCACAGCAAATTACATCCACATCTAAGAAACGTTCCTAAACGTTTTGATTTTGGGAATTTTCTCATCAAATTTATTGTCTGTAAAACCCTTAAATATGAATAACMATTAGTATTATRGCATGTTTACATTTTACTCATACTGGTGGACTGCTGTTTAACCACTCCATTACTTCTCTTTATAAAAACACAAAAACAAAACAGATTATCTCATTTTCATTTTCCTTCAGCTGCCTGATTAATGAACTATGAGTCATTGACTCCAACCATAACATCTGTTTCAGTGCTCGTGTTTTTGAGATAGTAATTTCAATTGTTCTCCCTCCCATGGGGATAGGAATTAGAGCAAATTAAGAAAACCACATTCTGCAGTAGTTAGTATTTGCCAAGTACTTTTCACTAGTGAACAGTTACTGYATGCAATTTAAAACTCGTAAAAAAGCCCCGGATGGGCAACTTTGGCCTGCTTCAAGCGTTGAATACTATTATTAAAACGAACTTTAAAGTACTTTGTTAAAAGAATGAGACACATTTAAAGGCTATAACTTACACATAGACTAATAAACTGAAGTTGCTTTCTTACCATTTTTAATTARTGAACCATTAAAAATGTACGCACTTTAGGACCTTGTCCAATGTTTTACACAGAAATAATTCTGAGACACCTTCAATGAGGCAGCTACTTCATCATTAAATAAATTTACTTCACTAAGTGTTGGGGGCAATGTTCACCACTGCAGGAGTCACTATGTTTCTTTTAATTGATTTCCCTGTTTAAAACTCCTTTCAACACATTAAAATTCAGACTTTCATCAGAATTCTCAAGTTTTGTAATGCATAACTGTACCATCATATTTTTATCTCTTCTTAAGCTACTTTCATCAGTTCCCAATATGTTTAACAGTAATAACTACAACTTGACATCAMTAAATTATTCTATTTATATATTTCTTTGTTCTCCCTTTCCATTTTTTATTCAATAGTTTTCACATTTATTATTTCTTTAATGTCTTTTTTTGTTTTGTTTTATTATTTCAGAATTATTTCCCCTTTTTCAACCCATAAACTGCTTTTATTTCAGCGTTTTTCACTTTTGCCTGATAGGAGAGTCCAGGATCATGAGCACTAATGATGTTGCCATAAAGTAAGAGTTGTGGACCATCAAAGGGAAGTTGCCACTCCACACTGAAAAAAAAAGGATTTTTGGGTGTAGTAACATTTATT